CTGGGACCTCATCTCCAATGGGCAAGCCAGATAGAGTTCCCCAGCAGCTTGGTCAGCCTTAAGGTCCCATACAGCCTGTGCCTCAGGCTGTGAGTCTGCAGGACGCTTCTCAGAGCCACTGACAAGCAGCCACAAGCCCTTGGAGCGCAGGTAAGACTCCATCTCTGATCTCCAGATAAGATAGTTGGAAGAGCTGAGTTGAGCGATAGTCATGGTTGACATAGCAAGGGATTGGGTGGCAAGTAGAACGTTCTAGGATGATGCAGGACGTTCAGGAAGGCAATGGATAGGACAGAGAGCGACAGGGGGTAGATGACCAAAAGGGGCTATGGAAAATTTCAACAAAGCCACTTGGTTGAACTACTCAAAAGCAACACAATGGGTGTTCCAACAGTCCAAATGGTGCTCAGACACAAAGATAAGGGTTTCCTGGGGCGTAGAATGCGATGGAATACACTAGGGAAGGAGTGTTAGAATAACCAAGTGAACCAAGCCACAAGTGAGCTAATGAGAGTCAGGACTATAGTCCAGTGTCAGTTGCTATTGTGTTGTGTAAACTAATGAGTGTACTATACCTATAGTCCAGTGTCAGTTGCTAAAGAGCAACCAACACAGGACTTGCTACCTATGGGCGAGTCTATGTAAACAAGTGTAAACACTGCCTAAGTAAGTAAGGAATTCACATCACATGCATAAGGTGCTCAATCACCACAACTAACACCAATGGCTCTACAGTCTGTTTCTATACCAGACGGCCCTTCGAGTACCGACACTGCTTCTCTCGCTGTGAAGGTGGAACTCCTGGCCGCCAATAAGAAGTCCACACCCATCACGATCGACTTGAAACCTAGGCCCGAAGCTATCAAGAAGCGCCAGCCAAGCACGAAGCCTATGCATGTGAGCACCAAGATCACAGCGTGGTGAGTTCTAGAACTTCTATTTGTTATTGTGAATACCAAGTAAGGCTAACACTATTATTATTCTAGGAACCTTTGCGCTCTCGACTGGCAAATGAACGGACATCAAAGAGATCCTGCGAGTGTCTTCGCAATGTACTGGAACGGTCTGTCGAACACCGACAAAGAGGTACATCATTTCCATATTGATATTATCTCTACTGCTAATGGAGTCTGCTACTGCTATATTATAGGTATACAAGCACAAAGCGGCCCTACAGGTGCGTGGTACTATGTATCACACTACTTTTTATACTAACAACCTGTTTATAGCTCAACTCATCTGGAGCCATTCGAGGGGGTGGTACCGGTGATGATGTGGACGAGGAGTAGTGGAATTGGCGGGATGGCGGACAGGGCAGGACGGCGGACAGGCAGGACGGCGGACAGGGCGGGACGGCGGACAGGGCACAATACCTACGGTTACCACCATAATGATAGCGATACCCTACGATAATCTCATTTTCTCCCATTAGATGCATATCAATATGTTTTTTCAAGCCAAACGAATGTATTTGCAGGCTAGAGACATGTCTAAACACAGTGAGAATCGTATCTAAACGTCTAAATTTTCTCTCGAGGTCTTTCTTTTTCCGTCTCAAAAAGTCTCATTTGGCTAAACACATCAAAACTCATCAATATTTTTCATAGGGCTGATATTTTTTGACTTATATCTACACCTATCTACCTCATTCTTGTCGATGTTCACTGGGACTCAGAGGTACCCTGTAAGTGAGTTGCTTAGGGATTGTAAAAGCTGATTTAAGTGATATGCACCTACAAAAAGATCAAGGGAAGCTGGCTTCACTGTCGAGAGAACAAGAATTAACGCTCGTATACAGAAGACAAGGCGGCCAAGCATTTTGAATGAAGTGAGAGGGATTCAAGCGTACTTTGATCTACTGGCCATATTGTTCTTTACCTAGGCTTGAGCTTAGCGTGGGTGACCAATTGGTCGTTCACTGAGCACCTCCATATGGTCTAGCTGAGGGTGTTCTTAAGGATTATCCAAATCCGAACATGTCTCCGCATTGTTGGGCGTCAAGGTACTAGGTGGATGCGCAAGCAGAGCTTGCCCATCCAAACGGCTATGAGACCATTGAAAGAGTAGCTTTGAAATGTTCAAAATTGTCATGCTGCGCTGCATCAAGATGAAAACATATAAAACAATAAAAGGTAAAGTAAGTAATCAAAGTCAGAAAGAAGAAAATGAAGCCTGCAGATTACGCTGATATAGGGTTGACTGATGTCATTAAAGCTCTGCCGGGATTCACCACGGACATTGCTGGCTGAGTTACAAATTAGTATTGGCCATCCCTATAGAACTGCATTGCTGACCTCATACGCTCCTTTGTGACTCCTCACATTGTACTGCATCATTTTCATTTGTAAATTAGTACAGTACTTACTCATAAAATAATGATTAAGAACGCATGAAGTGACTTGAAATGTAGAATTTGATCTGTGAAAACCGGTATTTGCTAAGCTTCCCTAATAGGTCATCCCTATAAAACGCTGACCTTCGCATTTGCAGGTCCTCTTTCTACTTCAACAATCTTGAATACGCTACGCTTGGATTGATAATTAACTTCGAGTAGTTTAATTATATGTATGTAACACATTTAAGTGAAGGAAAGAAAGTTAGACTACAGGTTCAAAAATAAACAAATGCGCTGCTCTGGATGACGTTCTAAACGAAGTTCTCAAGCCATGCGGTGATCAATGTACCAAGGGCAAGGGCACCTACCCGCCTCAAAAAGACACCAAGATACAAATAGGTACTTAAATGTATGTCATGGATTCCCACAGGGGGAATAACTCATCTAATTCGAGGCACACCCACATTGCATGAGCCTCAGTGCCAGCAGTGCTGGAGTTACTGAATGTGGCTGCTGTGTGACACCAAATTATAGCTTTCCATCACTTCCTGGTAAGGAGGGAGAAGGAGGAACCAGTTTCAATCTGCCAGATGTGAGATTGAAACCATCTCTCAGCTTTTGCATTCCATTCCCCAGACCAGTGCTCATTCCTCTCCTAAACATCAAGGGTAGGCCAGATGCTACCATTCTCAGTCATGCCTAGCAAGAGGGAGATTTCACCTTTACTGACACAGTTGTCTACCATTGTGTGATCGCTTCCTTCATCAAAATGTGGGTGCAGCGCTGCATCGATGGATGGCCCAGAGATTGCCATTGCGAAGAAGCCCACCGGTCCATAATGCAATGCAATTGTTAGAATAACCAAGTGAACCAAGCCACAAGTGAGCTAATGAGAGTGAACAGGACTATAGTCCAGTGTCAGTTGCTATTGTGTTGTGTAAACTAATGAGTGTACTATACCTATAGTCCAGTGTCAGTTGCTGAAGAGCAAGCAACACAGGACTTGCTACCTATGGGCGAGTCTATGTAAACAAGTGTAAACACTGCCTAAGTAAGTAAGGAATTCACATCACATGCTAAGTGAGAGTCCAATAGAGGAAGCAACATCATAACACAAATAACTCGCACCATAAGGTGCTCAATCACCACAACTAACAGATGTAACATCACTCCTCTCTGTCAAGCTTGCGGTATGCTCAGCTCCACGAGATCGAGAGCATGTGGGCCATCACTTGCGCACCAGAACCAGAACCTGGCCAATTTTGAGAAGGACCTTCAGGACCACAAACACGGTACATTATGCTCATTCCACACAACTTGTTGCTGACTTATTGCTACATAGAATTATTGTTAAACCCCACTGTGACTCTGCTATGCAGCAGCCTTGTCAACACTTTGCTTCACAATCAACAGCTGCCAAAGAAATCAAGTGACCTGCCAGTTGCTTCTCAAAGTCAGTACTTGATTGAAGTTCTTGACATAATCTGACCAAGGCTTCAGTGGAGATATGTACACATGGCCACAGAATTTTTGATGGAACTCCCTCAGATGGCACGCAGTGGCTCCTCCATAGTTGGGTCGTTTCTTCGCGGAACAAACTCCTAGCCCTCAACCAGGAATCAGGGCTAGCGCTGACAAGCGCGAGCTTTCTAGTCTAACATGCACTGTGTAGATTGATTTCTTCGTCTTTCTCTTTACAGGGCAATGGCTTTTTGGCTTGGATGAAGTCCATCAAATACCATCCTGTCAATCTAATAAATCCAGTGCCATGGGCCTCAGTGTCAAGAAAGTACTTGAAGCCATGCGCAGCTCCATTGAAGACGGGTATTTTACTCAGCTCTAGCTCCTACTATTCATGCACTTGATACATCAGTATGTACTTTCATCCTTCTCGACTTCGGTTGGACTTTTTCAGTTCTCATGAGGCCATTTTTTGCTCGTTCATTACATACACTATTTGAAAGTAGCATATAGTTCAGTATTTGTTTTCTGTGTCCCCCATGAGCGGAAACAGTAACGCGGTGTGAAGGTATGTATTACTGACTCAGAATATCATATTGAGGTCTGAGTCATGCTGGCAGAATTCAGTAAGGAAAGCAATAAAAACATAAACAGAATGATGCCCATTGTCCGAAATTAAGCCAGGATAGCATCAGAGAGAGCAGTATAAATTATGCATGATGTTCACATGGAAAATTCCTGCAATGAACACTGCTTTGTATCATGTATTCTCCAACATTAGGGATATCTAGTTCTAGGGTCTGCAAGGAAGCATCAGATAAGCTCTTAGCTCATCAAAGAAGAACACAATACAACACACCCATTACCATGTAGCTAGGCAAACTGCCTTCTAATGATGTGCCTCATGTGCAATCTGGATTCTGTATGGGTTTCTAGGATCCCGGGTTTACGTCTTGGCTGTAACACCCTAACATGCTAAGTTAAAGTGAAAAAGAAAGCATGACATACCACAAATACCCATCTCATGCATCTTGAAGACAAGGTAAAGGGTGACTACACTTGCGACAAGGAAGGGAACCATGGGCATCAACACCTGGTAACATGACCAGTCAGGTGAAGAGCACCTATAGCATGAGGAATGGAAGATGCAGGAGTGAATTAAATACAAAATGCAATACGATTGATCACCACACAAAAAGTCAAGAAAATCAATATCATGGCCATCAGACAAAGATGAGGAACAGGATGCAATACGATACAATACGACAGTCAAATGATCAAGAAAATTGAGACGATAACCATCATACAAGGATAAGGATCAATACCAGTGATCAATCCAGACAATACTCCAGATAACAATAGCAAAATTCCAGCAAAAATCAAGCAAAATCAAGTCAAGTCAGACACGGATTCTGACCTCAGCCTACATGTCACCAAAGACAAGCACTTATATGGTCATTTCAGAAATACATTTCAAAGTTGTAAAAACATATCTTCTGGTGGGCTGGTACATATGTTAGAGGGTACTTTCAGGATGGATATGACCCAACAATCAAAGAAAACGGTGGTTCGGTTATGGAGATATTGCCAAAATACTGACTTTTAGCCCCACCACCATATGTCATAAACACTGACCTCCGGATGGTCTGGGACCATCACCAATCGATTCCTACACCTGAAAAACCCCAGGACAGTCCTTTACAGTATCAGTTTCAAGTTAAAATCAAGTACAGCAACATATAAGAGGCAGGAGGGAGAAGGAGGACCTTGTATATCTCAAGAACACGAATTTTTCTGGGAAATCTGGCTCAACCATCATGTTCAGAGGGATCAAGAGTCCCAAGAAAAATGCTTTTGGAGCACTGGCAAGTCATGGGAAGTCTGTAAAAATCGATCTTTGGGTGGGGCAGCATGACAGAGGTGGTCAACTTTGGAACATGATTTTTAGAGCAAAATCTGGCTCAACCATTGTGTTCAGATGGTCAAATAACCTCCAGAATGAATCCTAGCTAAAGCCAGGCAAGTCATATGAAGGCTGAAAATTTTGATCTTTGAGTGGGGCAGCATGGCAGTGGTGATCAACTTTGGAACATGATTTTTAGAGCGGAATCTGGCTCAACCATCGTGTTCAGATGGTCCAACAACCTCTAAAATGAATCCTAGCTAATGCCAGGCAAGTCATATGAAGGCTAAACAAATCGATCTTTAGCAAGGAGAGCATCATAGGGGTGGTAGTCAACTTTGAAACATGGTTTTTAGAGCAAAATCTGGCATGACCAACGTGTTCATATGATCCAATAACCTCTACCATGAGTCCTAGCTAAAGCCAGGCAAGTCATGCAAAAGCTGAAAAATTTGATCCTTGGGTAGGGCACCATGATAGGGCTGGTACTCAACTTTGGAACATGATTTTTAGAGACCAAACTGGTATCACCAATCCATTCATATGGTCCAATAACCTCAAGAATGAGTCCCAGTTAATGACAAATGTGTCATATCAAGGGCTAGTAAATTGATCTTTGGATGGGGCACCATGACAGGTGTGGCAGTCAATTCTGGAACATGATCTTCAGAGACCAAACTGGTACTGTCAATCAATTAATAGTGTTCAATAACCTTGAAAATGAGCCCTAGTTAATGGCATATTTATCATATAAAGGGTTAGTGAATCAATCTTTGAGTAGGGCAGCACGACAAGGGTGGTGGTCAACTCTCGAACATGATTTTTTTGGACAAAATGAGCATTACCAGTGCATTCAGAGGGCTTCATAATCTTAAAAAAGAGTCCTAGTTAAAGTCAGACAAGCCGGATGAAGGCTGAAAAACTCGAGCTTGAAGTGGGGCATCATGACAGGAGTAGTGAAGACAGCACTGGAGATGTTTGAGGTCAATCAGTCTCAAAAAAGAGAAGAAAGAAGTGGATGGTCTGCCATATTCTATATTCTTCCCATTATATTGCCTTTGAATCTCATCATAGAATGATTGGTGCCAAATTGCAAGGATTTAGGGTGACATACCCATGACTGTACCTATGACTGTATCTACACCCACACGGTGGCCTGAAGTGCTGCATTTTCTATGGATCTATCCTTTCATTTGTGCTATAGTAGCATATAGGGTGTCAGAGGAAGTCTAGTGAGTGTTATCATTGGTCACTGTATTATTCAGCCTGAAGGTAAGATAAATCTCATGTCTATGAAATTTCTACTTCTAATAATAATCCAGAATGTGTAATGCCATCATGTTTCTTCCTCTCGCTTTACCTGACATTGCATATATATGCAAATATGCAAAATTTCATCAAGTTTCTTCAAATGAAAAGATGTGGTCTTGTTTGAGACTGATTATTTAAGCAAAAATGCGGTCAACTTGAACCAAAAAAAATCTCTTTCTTTCTTTCTCACTCACTCACTTATTTACTTACTCATTTAATCCTGTCACTATCTTTACTTTTTACTTTTTACTTTTTACTTTACTTATGAACCTGGGGCTTATGTTGGTGTCACCCTCCATGAGGGTCCTACCATTGATTATGGTACCAACATTTTTCGCTTCTGAGGATTTTTTTTACTTGTTACTTTACTTTACTTCTGGGCCTGGAAGCTTTTGTTGGTCTCACCCTTCTATGGGGGTACCACCATTAATACATCTTTGTTGATGAAAATAATAGTAAACCCTAATAAGACCAATAAATTTCGCTTTGAAGGTTTTTGTTATTGGTGTCCCCTGCTATGTGGGTCAAACCATTATTATAATGATTAATTGTCGCTAGGGAAGGTATTGTGTGTTGATATGTATCACCCTGCATGAGTGTCTAAGTGTTAACTTACATCAGCCCAAAAGACTCTGAGATCATCTCCAATCTATTTATATGACTGTAAAACAATGGGAATGCACTTTTATGCATTATACATTGGTATTCATATAAAATCATGGCTCTGGATGTAATAGATGCCATTCAGTCTGTGGTTGACTACTAATGGCCAGTTGGTGGCACCATTGTGGCAAAGCAGGAATTCTAGTATCATTGATGCTGGAGACATGTGATAACTGTCCACCATCAGAGATACTATTTTCCTACTCCATAGTACCATCAGTCCACCTGACCAGAGGGCACTTTATATGGAAAGGTTTTGAATAGCATCTTAGATTGAGACATAAATCAGGCAATTTCAGAATTATCAGTGAGATTGAGGGGAGTGCACTGCAGTATCATCAGTCCGCCTCACCAAAGGGTACTCCATATAGAAAGGTTTTGAATTACATCTCAGGTTGATACATAAATCAGGCAAAACCAGAATGATTAGTGAGATTATATCTCCAAGGGTATTGCCAGAAGTATGGTGAGACAGAGAGGAGGAGCTATCCACAAAAGAGTTTCCACTGTGAGATGTATCCTGCATTACTTCTAGTTAGATGTATCATCTCAACGAAGAACAATCAACTCATGCTGGGGTAAAACCTGTCAAATTTGTGTGACGTAGACCTCCCCCTGTGAGAGAACTCTTCCAAGTCATCATATAATGATCCAGTGGGTATATGTGACTTGGGTGATGGGACAAATGCATCAGGTTTGTCATTGGAATACTTGTAGGGATCTTGCTGAAAGAATTGTTGGTGTATGTCATGTTGATGCATCAGGAGATGAGTAGTATAGTATGGATCACTGTCAGCACTGGTGGTGTCACTGAACCCAAGTCAGACTGTCCGACCATTCCTCCCATTCCTCCAACTACGACTTCAAAGGCCCCCCCCCAGCACTGCTAGTGTCACTGAACCCGAATCAGATGACCCGCCCGTCTCTCTCATGGTACCTAAGCCAGAGTCAGATGGGAGTATCACAGAGCCGGAATCTGATGACATCACTACAGTGTCACCTATCTCTGAGTCCACAACTCGTCTTGACCATCACCGTATGTTCATGACTCTGAGTCCACCACTTCCAGGTTCACTATACTGGAAATATTTCATCAAGGAGGAAGATGTGAGGATGTATGACCACTCTGGGACAGACAAGAGTTTTCAAGCTGTGCGACAGATGAAAAAAGAATTGCAGGCACTTATGGATGCATAGTCCCTTTGTTTCATTAGATGAAATCATCATTATTTTGAAGCCCTGACCTAATTTTAATGAGTAAACATTGGTCAACATAACTAATTATGTAGGTTGATTATCCTCATCATCAAGATAGATTATATTAACAGGACTACAAAGTACGGACAGTAAACTGCTTCACATGTTGTCCTACTTTGTAGTGACGAGTGTGACATAGGCACTACAACTAGGCAAGTACTACGTAGTGGTTGTAACTATAGATGAGTTGTGGAAAATTTAGCCAAAATCTGTTTGTACCTGGATCTGCCTGGCTCCCCTCTGGATATCTGTGGCTCTGCATGACTCAGGCTGTCATGGGTTCTGACTAGGCTTACCTCTTTGTCCCTTCATGACAAGATGCGAGGTCATTGTTTTCATCCACCTTGACCTAATCATGATTGATGATTCAGACCCCTATCCCTTTTCTCACTATTCCTCTCCATCTCTGTCTGTCCTGATGACCGTCTTCATATCATGATCTAATTATCTCTTGGTTAGTCAACCTATTGTAATGGGGAGTAACCCTTATACTAACCAGTGAATTCAATGTCATTGAACATTAATTCTCTGGTCATTGTTCTGTCAGATATGCAGTCATATTCCATTATTTATCCACATAACCAACAGGACAGTCTAGATGCTAACCACTAGATATCTCAGTTCACCTTGCTGTTGCAGATTCTACAATGGAATAGCTTGACCAGCTAATCCTCTTTATCAATGACTGTATACTAGTGCCAAGCAATAGATCAAAGTTCACCGGCTCAGTGAATGGGCGCTTTAAGTTAGTTTGACATTTGACACTCAATATGAGTCAAGGAGCTATCTGGTGGGCTGAAAAATCTGTAACTAAGGAATGCTAACTCAAAGAATAGGAAGAAACTCTTCTGCTGACCAGTAAACTTGATTTTTTTGAACAACCATATTCTGCTCTCTCTCTTGTCAAACCCCACACAAAAAAAATTAACAACCCAGTTGACTAATTACAATTAATAACAACTCTAGTGCGCTTCACCTGGGGCTCAATAGCCATACAGAAGTACTTATCCTTGCAGGTGGTGATCTGATATCTGATGACAGGAAATCCTTCACACTCAAGCTGTAATGATGCTTGATTTTCTACTGTGGGGTTGAGTTGGTTGGACACTCCTTCCTCTATGAAGAAAGGTGTTGATTGCACAGAAAGCATCATCTGACTGTGATGGCATACTCTGAGATTGCTATGAATATCAGAATGTGCCATCACAGTTACATAAGGTGGTCTATGCAGTTGACACCTCTCTGTATATAGTGAAGATTGTTTGACCCAGTCTATCCAACAGTATAAAACCTTCTTTGCACATATATGAGGTCGCCTGGGCAGACAAATCTTACCTGCCTATGATGATATGGTCTGATATTCAAGCAATATCCGAATATTCCATCGCAGTCAAGTATAGATTTTTGCCCCAGTTGACATGACCAGTGGACCCATTTGGCAATGTAAGATTGCTCATCTCATATGTTGGAATATCCTTTGTGATCAAGCTATAATGATGCTGGATTGCGAAATATTCCTATAGAAACATGTACCAGTGATCTTAGCAATCTATACATACTTGGAAAGACATTTGTTTGACCAGTGAGTAACATATATTAATAATAGCACTGCATATTGAGACGACACACAGGAGGAGTGAATGTTCTGCCCAGTGATTCCCTGCTATAAGGAAGGGTGTTCATATTTCAGTATCCAGTGCTCCCTGCCTCTCATCTTACTGGAGCTGATAGTTGATGTGCTCGCAGTCACCAGGACTGGTTGATGTGATACTTGGCTAAAACCACCAAGTTTGCAATCAAGTCTTAACTCAATATCAGAATATGCCTGCCTGATCAAGGTGCTGTTATGTCCACTTGGTTGGCAGGCATCGTACATACAATGTAAATTGTGAGCTAATCAACATCCATTTCCTCATCTCTGTCCACTAATTCTCCTATGTCCATAGGAAATGGCCTAGGTTTGTGAGGACATGGGGGAGGGGGGACCCTCTGGTTTTTCTTGGTCATGGTCATCTTTTTGCGAATCTCCCGACACTTTTGTCTATCTGTCTTCCTTCTCAGATTTCCATCAGTGTTGAATGGCTGTGAGTCCATGAGGTCAGCTGCAAAGATGCGCTTTCCCTTGATCAACTTCATTGTTCAACGTGCTTTTGGGGCATTCCGTCGACTCTCTGCCCCCCTTCCAATACAGTGAATCCTGTAAAATACAGGATTTGTTATGAATACTATGGCATCATGCTTTTGTATCCACACTTTTCCACCACTTGCAGGAAGACTGTGCAGGTCAGAAAATACTTCACATAACCCTTGCTTGAGCAATTCCTGCTGATCCTCTTCCATCGTCTCCATCATCCGGTGAAACTCTGTGATATAATTCCTTCTCCCTCCCATAGTGTAGACCACTGAGCATTGTTTTTATGGGAGGCATCATGGTCAGGAAAGAATAGCGAGCACCTGTCCACAAATGTTTTTGACCTTGGACCCATGTGACCAGGAGTTACACCTGTGCTGTTATGCAGCCCAGCATTGCATGCTTTGAAAAAGACTGCAGCGAGGGTGTCATCGATGCTAGTTATCATCCAGCACTTCATTGCCTCCTGAAGTGAGTTTGGGTGAGGTCTGATGCCTTTAAAGACTTCAGGTGTCAGCATAAGCCATGTGTGCCTCGTGAACATGACAATCAGACTGTCTAACAGATAGTTGAGTATTGGATAACCTGGATGACCATGTCCATGGTCTTATGATTATCGCAGGTGAGTTTGCAATGGCTGCCTTGAGTCTAGTCCATGATGGTGTCCGACCAAGGGGATAGTCCTCCAGCTCTGACTCAGGAGTCCTGCCAAGCATCCATCCTTCCTACTGCTCTATCCCTTTGAGCTTTCAGCATTGATGCCCATGAGAGCCAGCACATTCATGTCGTCGATTTGCTTGCACCTCCTCCAGGCTAGGTGTCACTGTCCAGATCGAATTCCTGTAAGAAAAACATCTCTGCTGTCTCGAGGACATTTCTATATTCAAGGAGGGCGAGGGATTCACGGATGTGAAAGTCATAGATGATAGGGGTCGATGTTGTCGAAATAAAGCATGTGGTTTAGCAAGCCAGTAAGAATACCAAGATTTGGAGGATTCTTTTTGATGATGGATATTTGGGTCCTCTGAATCTCTTGCACCTGTTTCCTGATAAGCTCAAACCATATCTTGGATGGGATCCACAGAATTGGATCTGACTTCAGATATTCTCTAGCCCACATGCAAATTATCACTAGAGACATTCAGCTCGTACGCCAATGAGACATGCAGTGTGAATGACCAACCTTGTCTTCTATATTATCCAGTATTATTCTGGCTGCATGTCCACTGACCCTATACTCGTCCCTGACACCATATGTTTTCTCCTTACAACAATTGACCACCTATGCAATGTCAAAGCATTCAGCCATGTAAGATAGGGCTCAAACAGTCTCGACAAAGCTTATATAATCCTCCCCCGCCAAAAGTGTGACAGATGGACTGTAAATACTACTACTATCTACACTGATGTGCTACAGAAAAAGTAAAACTCAAGTACAATGGATAGCATCATGCATGTTATTATTTGAGTTGTATGGTAATTTAAGAGAGCTGTAATGAATATCTGTAGTCTTTTGAAAAGTTTTGGTAAATATAATTATATTTTAAGGCACTTAGCACTGCACCTGACCACCGGAGAAACTCCGCCACATCCAAAATGCCCCGGCCATCGAAGAAAGCAAGAGCAGGGGTAAAGAACCTTGGCCCTTATGCTATAAAGAAGAATATCAGAATAAGCTTTGTACATGAGAAGGAAAATGTGAGTAGAGCTGTCACTGCAACATGTTCGAAGCAAATCAACTCATGCACGCACCAAAAATTCAAAGAATATCAACCCCACCTTCGAACAGATGCTGCCTTCACCTTGCATTCTGGAGCTGGACTTGGAGAGTAACATGGTGGTTGACACACCTGAACCAGAGACAGTATCAACAGCAACTGCCGAGGACATGGATAAAGATGACTATTACCTTGATCATGAATCTGATGGTGATATCAACAGCAAGAATGGTGTGGATTTAGATGTGGAAGGTGACTGTGGTGGTGAAGACACAGAATATGCTACAGAGCCTGTGCGGGAGTTCTATGCACAGCATCTATTGTCTCTGACACTCGGTGCTGCTGAGAAAGCTCTGGAGGACATCAAATTAATTCTGAAGCCTCAGAGAAAGAGTGGGGTTGGTTTTGTATGGGGGGACTTTCCTCCATTGTTGAGAGAGTGGCTCGAGCAGATGCGGATGCTCTTGTGTGTCTTCATTGACCGCACTAATAAAGCTGAAGCAAGGCCTAGCCCGCAGTGGATAGTGTCTTCTCTTGCAGTTGCACAGGCACACCAGAAAGGACCATCCTATGCTCACAAACTTCACCGTTGGACCCGATCCTTCATCATGGATCATGATGACCTTCCTTTTGACCTGTATGGAGTTTCACACCTGTCAAAAATTGATGACAATGAACTCGCATTGGAATTACATACCCACCTCCAGTCTATCGGAAAATTTGTCAAAGCTGCAGATCTTGTCAGCTACATCAGTGACAAGGAAGTTCAAAAGCAGTTTGGACTTACATCTGGAATTTCACATGCCACAGCAAAGCGGTGGATGCACAAGCTTGGCTATCGCTGGCTTCGTGATCAGAGGGGCCAATATGTTGATGGTCACGAGCGCATCGACGTCATTCAATATCGCCAAGAAGTATTCATTCCTGCAATAATGGCCATCGAACCACGTCTTAACAAATGGCTAAAAGATGGCATCACATCAGAATCATCACTTTCCCCAGGAGAACGACATGTAGAAGCTTGGTTTCAGGATGAAGTTACCTTTTATGCAAATGACCGTCGGCATTCTGGATGGAAGCAGTTAGATGCCAGCATAGATCCTCGTCCAAAGGGGGAAGAGGTTTCTATGATGGTGTCAGACTTTGTCTCTGCAATGCATGGCTGGTGCCGCTCACCTGACGGAATCTTATGATGGGGTAAGCTTGTATGTGTCACTGTCAGAAGCGAAAATTGCTTGGTTACTGTTCGTCCAGATTGACTCGTAGTAGAGGTTGTAGGTGCTCCTGAATGCGATATGGGTCTGCTGGGATCTCTCCTGTTGCATCTCAGCCTGCAGTGCTCCATATATAGAAAGTGTGTTGTGATGCATCTCGCCTCTCTTGTAGCCTCCTGCTCTGAATCATGCTTCTAATGCATCTAGTCTCCACACTCCTACGACTGGAACATCTGGAGAGTGAGGTGTAAATGAAATTCCAATGTCCACCAGCAGTTCCCCATGCCTCCTGTTCATCATATATGGCCAGTCAAGGTCAGACAGATTTCAACACAGTGCCTCTTCCGGTCCTGAAAAGCGCCCTCTCTGACCATCCTTTGTGAGTAGCTTGATTCCCTTTCCTTCTAAAATGAAGAACAGCGACTCATACATGCTGAGCTCGCCCTCCCCATCACGTATGCAAGCTTGCATGCATTTCTGAACTTCCATAAAGTCATCATCTGACAGGGGTACAGTCTTTGGAGGTCCCCATCCACCTTTGCATCCATCTCTACCTCTGGCCTTGTATTGTGCCTCCTCCAACGTCTGCTTGAGGTAAGGTGCACAACTGACATCAGTGCAATCTCCTATGGATGGAAGTAGCACTCTGTCCCAGAAGATGTCCAAAACCTCCTTTGGCATTAGCATGATTCTCCAACCATTCACTGGGTGTTGATGGATCATCCTTGGGAATGCGATATATAGATTGAGTGTCAACAAAGCAGAGGATATGCGGCCAATGCATGCATGAGGGATGGTAGACATTGGAAATTGTTTGGACAGCCATTCTGTCCTGCTGCCAGGCATACTGGAATCTGCTTCTGACTGTGGAATCGTGATGTCGATATAAGCGTGATTATGCTTGAATATGCCAGGTTTCATCTGAAATGGTGGAGTGATATAGATACTCATGGATCCCTTGCATCAGAAGAGCTTTGTGGTCCAGATTATGCTGTCTATGTCCACTGAAATCTCTATCTCATCTTCTGAAAATGCAACCGCATCTTGTTCGAGATCAAAATATAAAGCTGGGCTATCACCATAATGATTACTGGTGCGACCACGCACAAAGGAATTGTGTCTGAACCTGCAGTCATCATGCAGTGGGGGATCATATTGGGCAGAATCGATGAGTTCAGCAGCAGACAGTATTTCCACATCTGTGACCTGTGTGTGGTGTTCTCCATCCTCTGACCCTAGCCGGTCCAGGCTGTATGCACCTGTAACACAATCTGGAACCTGATTTGAAGGATTGTAGGAGTCTGGTGTGCCAATGGGCATGATATGATCCATGGTGGCTATTGGGTCACATTGATAAAACATGTGGAATGAGCTAGGGGTAATGTGGTAGCCATGGTCCACCCAGTCCACCCAAGCAGTTGAGATCTGGATTCCTCCAGCCTGTAATGTCATTGCTGGATTGGATTCCCTGGGAGTCATTAACATTTCAATTATTGGTCCACCTTCATAACTGTCAAATGTGTGGTCATCCTGAAGCCACCTCTGACTTGCATATGCAGCCAGGGGGACTGGGGCAGTGGGACGTGGAAATCATTTGTTGCTTCCAAGATGCCAGTGTTTTACTCGCGTACGAGATGCTGAGGCAGAAACAGAGTGTTGTGAGTCAGTGGTATCCTGGACATCAGGTGGCATGTCCAGCTGGAGTTGAATGTGCGTGCCAATGGCATGAGGGACTATAGAATTGCAATTTTGACATTCAGTAAGTAGCTTGTTTGCTTTAAAAAGCTTTGCAAGCTTCACCTTTCTATCTGCAGGTAGGTTCATTCCAAGGGCATCCTCATCATCACTCCATTGAGCTTCCAAACCGTCCGGATCCACTGGAGTTCCATCTTCATTCTGTCCATGGTGTGAGGGGTGTTCATCACCCTGATGCAGGTATGGGATGTTGACATGTTGAGCAGGTGGCACTCACAACAGTCAATTTCTGTAGGAGTTTGAGACATTCAGCCTGGTGCCGCCCATTCCAAATCACATTGATGACACCCTCATCTGGTAGCTCGCCCTCTTGCCATTCGTCTTGCGCAGTGTCAAGGAGCATCAAATAGTCACTACAGCAGAGCTTGATACACCTGTCATATACCGGATCCGAGTACACCCAGTACCACCTATAAGCATCCCTACCCCTGGTCCAACCCCCTGTTTCCCTGTCCACTCCATTCCTCCTTCCCCGACAATGCATGAAGTGTATCTAGCAGGATTAGCCCTGCTACCTCCGCCCGACCCCATTCTGCTTTTCTGACACTACCCCTATGTCCCCCGACCCCATACCCCTTCCATCCAACCCTATCTGGGGTTCCGCTCCTCCACCCTATCAGTCCACCCGATCCTACTCCTACTCCCTCCGCTTTTCCGACCTGCACAGATCCTTCAGTTCCGCTTGTATTCCCCCACCCAAATATTAGTCCATCTGACTGCCTCACCGGTCCACTCCTAGACTAGGAACCACTCAACTGGTCCTATCCCCATTTAGTATCATAGTTCCGCTTTTCAGATCACCAGTAATCCCTATACCCTAGCAATTCTGATCTGTTGCGTACATACTGTTCCCCGAGCCTTATTCTCGTATGTCTCAGTCATCCTATTGTAATCCTATACACTCAGCACATAGCCTTCTGCTATGCTATGCTCATCACTTAGAGTATATAAACATGTACATTCGTCTGTAGATACTCAGTCGGAATATTACCTTTTCTAAACCCTGTTCTTCTGCCCTTTGACTTAAAGCTTACCCCAAGTCAAACTCCTGTTCCCCGGCCTAGGGGATTGACTCCCTAGGTCGGCTGTCCTCCGATCCTCTGCTTCCCTGCTTCCCCATTCCTCCTGTCCCGCTGGTTCCGCTGTTCTGTCGTTCCACTGTTCCGTTGTTCCGTTGTTCCTCCATTCCCCTGTTCCCCTGTTCCCCCGTTCCTCCATTCCTCCGCTCGTCCGACTTCCCATGCGTTGGAACTAAACCCCGGATTCTCGCATCCATCCCCTCCATTCCGCTCTGCATTGGACTTCGTCCAAGCAGTCCCTTCCGCTCTGCTTCTACTGTTGGTTCCGACCGCAGTAGTCTCCTGCTTCCCTCCTGTCGGGCGGAACAACCCCCGCCCAACTTTCCTGCGCTCACCTAGTAGTCCATCGGTCCTCCTTCAGAGGACCCCCATTCCAACGTCCTGTCGGAACTCCTAGAACTCGTGTCGGACTACACCCCAAAATTAGGGGCACGTACTTGAGTAAGGGGCGCAGCATATGAGCTGAAGTCAAGCCCCTCAGACTCCGCTTTACCCCTGAGCACGGTCTTAACAACGCCCAGCAATGACACGCAACATGTGAATGTGCAGTCTGTGGCCACACTGAACTTGAAATGCTGGAATGTTGCCATGCTCGTCTAATCCAGAGTTAAGACATTGCCCAAGCACGGAGCAAGCAATTGGACCACAATCCACTCCATTTTGCTTCCAATCTACCGATATCACAGATACACCATTGACATCCCCCGTGCTCCAGCCATGAAGGGCACCAATTCACTTCCAATATTTCGGTCCTCTCCACTCATTCCAGTCGTCCGGATCCACTCCATCGACATCCATTGCATCATCGGAAATATGACGACCCAGGACATAGGCTTTGTGTCGCTGATAGTCGAAAACAACTGCAAAGAAATGATTGACGTGATGGACTACAAATCCAACAGGGACAACAGGGCATATTCCATCATGAGGGATGAAATAGTTCCTCTGGAAGAGCTTGACTTCTTCATCCTCCATCTCATTCACCATTGTTGTGTGCATATTCACATACCTCATGCGTGATCTGCTCAACAGCTCGTACCACACATGGGACAAATAAAAGTCTGCCACTGTTGCTTCAAGCCACTCATTCAACTGGAGGGTCGCCCAGGTGTCTAAAACAGATGTCCAAACACCTGGTTGGGCCATTGCATGAGCTGTGATTGGGCAGAATACAATTAGTGTTTCATCCTATGTATAAATAATTATGAACCCACAAGCAATTTCCTCGGCCATCAGTTCAGGTATCGTAGGTGGTGAGACATCAGGTGAAAGCGACCGTACAGTAACCTGTGGTGGAGGGGATGGCCTGTACTCATCATCTGATATTCTTCTGGGCGAGAGCTCTTTGATCACTTATGAAAGATATTAATACATGTTCGCAGCAGTCAAACGATGTAAGATACTTATGGTGTGCTGGTTCTGGCATGTATTCATCGTCCCAGTCGTCCAATGGAATAGTACTTGAATGTGGTTGATGAACTACATGACATTTGGATTGTTTGGATGCTGTATATTCGATGTGATTCACATTTAGCTTTAATGAAGATTTCCAACATCACTGACCAGTAACTCTTGCATACACAGTGCAGCTTTTTTGGATGTCCCCTATGTTGCCTATTAGTGGATGGAGTTTTGCTGGCTTCGCCCTCCTCCATGCATAGATCACCGTCATAGTGGACCGCATTTTCAGGCTGGTGTTCCTGCACTGGATTGCTCATAGCACGGATGATGGGTCTGGAATTATGATTTCCCAGCTCCTTGGGTGATGATATTCCTATCCGTGGATGCCATTGTCCTGTGTTTTTGTCCTATGCACATGATCATGTAGATCTGGGTAGAGGTCAAGTATAGGAGCTCATGATGTGTGGTTGGTTTTCTAGCTGGTCGTCCACATGGACTGGCATGGTTTCTGTGCCTTTGAGTGATCCTTATGTTCAGTTATGCTCCTCACATCTCTTTCCATCGACTGTGCCCTCATATCTTCATCACTATTTAAGCTATCATCTCCTATACGCGTTGCAGCCAATGACCCCTGTGGGTTCCAATCCAGGATGCCAGATGTCATGATCTGCTGCAGGATATCAGCTGTATCCAACTCTTCATCCTCAGCCTCCTTCCTTCGCTGGTCCTCATTGTATATTGTGCTCGTGAGGTGATTATATGTCTGGCCATGATGAACCACATCATTGGGTGAGAAATGCTCAGGGACAGGGCTAAGTGTAGCATGTATGTGTTGTGCATTGGTATTCTGGATATTCCGAGTTGATCTATCAGTTGGAAGTATGGTAACCAGCTTGCCACCTTGACCAGAGTCTCAACTTGACATGTAAATATGACTTAAGTTCATAGACTCACGACGTTGCACAACTCGCTTTCTTGGCCTCCCTCAGCTTTGGCTTGTTTTCTTGGACCTCGACATCCTCTTGGTCCAAGATGTTGCATTTTTCCATACCTGCAGATAGTACTCCAATATTGTCATCAGGATTCAATCTGTCCTCAGATGCACTCCTCTCAGCTGTCTGAACATTAGTCCCTGAGATCCTCGAACCCTGTGGGTTTCAATCCAGGATCCTTGATTTGAGTATTTGCTGCAGAATATTGATGGAATCCTCTTCATCTATCAGACGCCGTATGCTGATGTGTGAGTAACAGATCACACCCTGAAAACATCCTGATTATATTTAACCTAGAATGTTCATGTGCTACAAGTACATACAATATTGAGTCGACAAAACACCTTGGCGGTCACTCTCTCTATGCAAAATCCCCATTTATTTACTGACCCTGTCCTACAATCGCCTCTGAATTTCTCCTGTATCTTAAGGTTTTGGTTTAATAGAATATAAAATGCACATTTCAAACTATGGATTGCGTGGAACGCATGGGCGGTCGCTTCTGTTATACACGATCTCCATTTGTTTGCTGACCCTGTCCTGCAATCACCTCTGAATTGCTCCAGTATGTTAAAGTTTCAGTTTGATAGAATGGAAAATGCACATTTCATGAGTGGTCACTTCCGCCATACACAATCCCCGTTTATTTACTGACCCTGTCGTTCAATCACCTCTGAATTGCTCTGGTATCTTAAGGTTGCCTCCGCCATACACAAAACCCATTTATTTACTGACCCTGTTCTGCATTTAATTCACTGTGGTCGGATCTAATCCATCATATGATGTAATACTTCTTGGCATGCCATAAGGACAACACTTGTACCTTGTAATGCATTTTACTTGATGCATTTGTCCAATACACGCAATTTTATGGCATACATAACAGCTATATGGTACCTATTAATTCCTGCAGCGTTGCAATATTTCCATCAGATGAATGGGCTGTTCCAATGCAAGATGGGAGTTTTCCAGTGATGTCATATTGGTATGGTAAGGTGTCCAAGATTTACCTGAAGACTTGTCGTCAAGTTCAGGCAAGTACATTTGCAATTCCAGTGTACCTTATTGATTCAAATACCCTATGATAGGATATATGGCTCGAAATACAATGGTATTATAGGAAGGTGGTCCTGGAAGATGAGGGTGTTGAGTATGGTATAATATGATATTTCAATATGCTCATTGGTTCACTGATGGTGACTCAGGCAAAGTTGAGGGTTTTTTCCCAATCACCAAGGTGGGGCTGATCATTGTTTGTCAATCAAAATGTCAATTACTAACTAACTCCTAGGATACTCTGGATACTCACCCTGAGTGTTCACAGCCCGCATTGCAGCCTATTGGACCCTCAGTATATGATGAAGATAATCAAAATTGTCGAAGGATATCACTCCCTTCTTGTCCCAGCAGTAAAAAAAGCAAGGTGCTAATCAATGCTGCATCCCACTATGGTAGGTAGTACTCCCTTCAAAGACAACAGCTGACATTCCTGAAAGATTCTGGGAAGAAATGGGCAGAAAATAACACCCAGACATTCTATAGATAATTAAACCCAATGTCATCCGCTCAGATCATGGTGACCTCTAAGAAGGTCACATGTGAAGTGATCCACCAGGGGTGTGGTCTGCGTCCCTCTGTTTTTGGTGATAAGATCATTGTATATGACAACATTAACCAGCTTTTCTTGTATCTTGAGGGTCTGGCTACGATTGATCTTGAAAACCATGTAGGTAATTTCCCCATACAGCTGGTGTCAAGCCAATATACTCCCCAGTCTTGCCTCACCTTGTGGACATCTCACCCACCAAGCACTACATGAACTTGCGGCATGTAGACTGGAGCAAAGTCTTCTTCAAGACCTACAAGGAGAAGTGTTCCACCATGCATCTACTTATCAGCTCTACATTGAAATATACTGGTTCTGCACTCCATTCAACTCCCCCAGGGTATGCACATCTCCAAATTCACAATTCCCTTCACCCAGCAATATCTGGTCTGCGACTGCCCTCAGAGGCGCAGTTGCCACACTGATCATGCTCCTGGCCACACTTTGCAGGCGGTCCAATGGTGTACATTGCACATGTTGAGAGCTGGATGAACACAACCACCTTGCAGGTCCCTGTGATCGTTTGCATTCTCTCCATCATTGCGACATCTTCTCAGAGAATATTATTCGAACTAAGGAGTACCAGAGTATTACAGGAGTTTATATACTGTAGGTATCATGTAAGTAAATCAGTCAGCAAAGTAGAAGCTATGTATGAAGCATGTGGAAAGTCTATTAGTAAGTGTATAACAGATCAAAGCAGTGAAGTCAGAAATGAAGTACAAATGGACAGATCAGTAAGCAAAGCAGAAAGGACATAACTGGTAGCCAGAGAAATAGTTATTCTAAAAGGAGATAGTTGAGAGTGCAGAGATGAAGGCAGAGTGCTGGGTGGACAAAATGACAGAGAATCCAGACTTTAGTAGGGGAGATCTGGAATTTCGGATCTGGAGGCACAGGATATGACACTGCCCATTGGTTACTTCTTGACCTTCTGTGGACACCCTGGTTTCCACATTACCAATCTCCTGGTCATTTACTTGATCCAGGTGTTCATGGTCATTCGTGAGTCCCAATGTATCACGCATTTGATGTGCATTCCTGACAAATCATAATGCTCTTCATCAGAACTCTGAACAAGCAGCTCGTGATCTGTCAAGTTGATGCTAGGGCGATGTGCTTGGTGGTCAGTAGGATTTTGGGTGCTACAACCTCATTCCCATCTTCAATTGGATCAAGTGCTGTATTGTCTCTGTTCTGCATTGCTTTGCTGCCTCTCTTCTTACCAGGTACTTCATTAGCATTTTACCCTGGGCTTTACTGACTGATGAGCCTCAGAACTTGTTGAGTGTGGAACTGTTAGAGATCGTGCTTGGATGGAGAAGAAAAGGGGTCAGGGCTTGGCTTCAGCTCTTGTGCTGTGCCCTTAGCCGAGTACATGCCCCAAATTTGGAGCGGGTCTGACGATAGGACAGGCAGACCACTTTGGTCCACTGTGTGGGTCAGGAGGTAGGTGCTACTAGTGGTAATCTGACTAGGAGGGAGGTGGAGGAAGTTTATTGGGGCGGAGGGTAGTAAGGGATTTGATTGATGGGGTTGGAGAGGTAAGAGTAAATACTTAGAGCACAGCTCTAAGTCGGAGCAGAAGGTCGGAGGTGTAAACTTGTGTCCAGAGAGGGAGCAAAGTCCTATGGAGAATTCCCACTAGTAGAGTCAGTGGGAAGATAAGTAATATTAAGACTGGGGAGTAGCTAAGTATAGGATATGTTTTTATATACTTCTATGTAGGAGGCAGTGACTAGTTAGTCCTTGGTATGAGGCTATGTACCAAGCATAATTTGTAAGTAGACACAAGTGAAAAACATAAGTCGGAGCGGATATCCATATGTATGTATTGGATCAGTTAGTTGAGCTGTTATAGAAAGTACCGGTGATCCGGGAAGTAAGTGTTATGTGCAAATAGGGAAAGTATATACCTAAATGGGGAAGGAGTTTACAGTAGAGTGGAAACGATGCAGAAGGTAACCGAAGAGGTGGTTGAGCGGAGGGCAGACAGAGCAGAGGTGGTAGGAAAGCAGGGAAAGTATGAGGTCGGGTGAAGCAGATATTAATATTGTCGGAGCAGTTGGATCAGGTATATGACAGGAACTGGACAAGTGCTGCTACATCTTGGAAAGAACTTCTCCTGTCTTTGAGATATACTCTGAAACTATCTCAAGCAATCTGACATTCGGTAGAGCTGGCCACAGTTTTGTAACAACTCAAATATCCTTCCTCAAACTTGTACTGCATGTGTGATGCAACACTTCTCTGTGGTAAGTTCATAAACTTGTACATCCAGACTATAAAATGCTAATGTGGTCCTCTAAGTCCCAGAAGGTACTGGAGTTCCATCATTTCCGACTCAAATAAACAATGCTCTCTCGCAATCTACAGCACCATCATCGCACACATTTCTTCTCTCTAGAGCAGTGGCTGTGGGACCAGCACAATTGGTTGCTCCAGGTGATAGAGTTGTTGGTGCACATGCACTTGCGCCATCGGCCATGTCCCATAAAGAATTTTCTAGAAAATTACTTTGTTTTTCAAATGTATATATTTTCACTCACTAGCTGCCCATCTGGGATAGTGAACAATATGATGCAAGAGTTTGGTAAGCGGTTCAAATGCTGATGCTATGATTTGTTGGTGTGCACTCCATGATGGGGCTAACATGGCCTACCTGGTGATTGCAATCCTGCAATGACATCAGCCTGGGGTCAGCATGGATTCATCTACCTTAATCAGTTGATGACACACCTGGCCAATATTGTTTGCTTGTCCATTTCCGTTTCCATCCGCTCCATTTCAAAAGTTGATAGATTTCAATTGATTGAATATCAAGCACTTGAGTTTGCAACATTCAAAGCTGATGAGTCCTGATTTGGACAATCACTAATTATTACAAAGTCACAATTGTGACATGTCACACTTGTTTTGTAAACAATATCCTGATGCTGCCTCATCAAGACCCTTTGTAGATCAACATTGCCATCAGCCCAGACTGTAGACCACTGCTTTCCAACTTTGGTTTTGCAAGGGTAACATGTCCACTCATGTCGATCACTGCGTTCTGACTTCTTAAACCAATATAGCTCAAGGAGGAGATCATGAGCTACTTCGATGTCAGCAATGGCAGCACCCTTAATCAGGAGTCTCTAAGATGGTGCCCTGCTGAGCTATGCAGGAGTGGAGGGAAATGTACAATGGTGTATGATGTCTATACCTTTAGTGTGACAGTACTGGAGGTACTTCCACCATATTCACTTGACAACCCACTTTTTTTTTTTTTTTTTTTGAAATATCTTCATAGCTTATAACCCATGAAGGGCCTTGGGTGTCAGTGCACCTTGCAACTCAAGTCATCCTTAAGGTCTGTCAGGGTGAGACTCTGCCTAGACCTATGGACTCAGTTGTTGCAGATTAAGGTTTGGATGATGCACTTTAGGCACTCACTTACTGGCACAACATTATCCCATGACATCCATAGGAGCATCAACAGCCTGAAGAAGAGTAAATGCCTTCCACTATTCCTGGGTCCTGCGGGTTAACAGCTTAATCCATCGGATGGAGGGGAGAGAGTCCTCCAGTAGGTCATTCTCCTTCTCAATATCTCTTAAAAATCTGTCAGAGTCAATCTGCATCTGGATTGGTAAGTATTCTATGACGAGGGCAAAAGTATGACTGTGGAACAATACAGAGGGTCCCAGTTGCGCAGCTAGAGCAGGTCTTCCCACCAGATCTCTGAGCCATGTTGCCAGGTTTTCACTATCGAGTTCAACAGCTATGCTTCCATTGTGGAAGGTTGTTACTGCTCGTACTCCTCCAGTTGGAGTGGTGTCATTACTGATGTTCATCACAGCTTCCTTGATTCACTTGACAATGTCTGTGTGGTTGGTCTCTGGTGGAAACATATGGCCTCCTGGGAGGGGGTCCAGAAGTATTTGTCTGGCTCTGATTGCCGCTCTAGCTACCACTTGGTCTATGGTGGGAGGGAGGTGAGCTGCTACAATGGAGCTGAATGATGGTTGGGTGGGGGGTTGCTACAAGGATTCAGTAGGATGGGTCAGGCAGAGAGTTGAGTCAAGAGTTTGTTGAGACAGGTTTGAGTGACATCAAGAGAGGGGGTTAGGAGCTGCAGGGATTCGTTGCAGATCTCAACTGATGTGTAGAAGGCATTGGCCGCTTCCTCAATATGTTCCGCGACTATCTTGACTCCATCTACTGTTTCCTCTTACTCATAATTGATGGCCTGTCATATCTGTTCTACCTCCCAAACAGTGCTTTCCAAGGTGGTTGAGGCCTTCAGGTCTTTGGCTACCTGCAGCACAATTGAGGTGATCACATGATCAACAATCTTGAGAGTCAGGGTATCTGAGAGCTGTTGTGCGACCATGTCTGCAATTTCATTAGCTGCATGTTTCTTCAGAATAAATGCTGTAGCTCTGAGTGCTGCGACAACAGGTAATGAAGTTTTGGGCAGCTGCGTGATGTGGAATAGAACTGAAATTAAGTGAGTTAGTGTAAAGGGTTCACCCAAATGACAGAGAAGGTTTGAGGAGAGGTATTGCTCAGCACTAGTATGATCCATTACTGCATTGGAGCATTATTTGTTTAGTGGAACAGGTTGTAGTGCCTTGGGCTGGAGATGTAGTGTGGGAGTTGGGTCCTCTGGGACCCATGCTGGCACTTCTTCTTTTGGTTGCGAATATATTTAAATGGAATTTTGTGGTAAAGTGGTTTTTGGATGGTTTGAGGCATTTGTAATGCTGTAGGGCAGTGTGGATGCTGTTGGGCGTGTTGTTGACTAGAGGTTTTTTTGAGGTCCTAGTTGGGGTACCACTTGGTGTGAGACCAAGTAGTGATCATCACTCATATTTATAATGGGAAAGCCCACCTAATAAATGCACTGGGATATCCCAGAGACATGCTAGAGTGATCTCAGTTGGGATTGGGAAAGATCAAAAATAGGTACTTGGGATAGCCCAGATACTTGCTTCAGTGTGGACTGGGATATCCTAGTATATAGGGTAAAATAATGGGAGTACCATCCTAGAACACACCCACTAGGTCCTTTTGAGTGGTCGACTAAAGTGATATAAGAAAGGTTGAGTATCCACAGAAAATGAGTCTCCCAGCGTTGGAGCAATGAGATTAGCTGATCAGCAACAAAAGGGATTGTAAGATACAAGTGCCAGCATAAGACCCTAATTATGCTACTAGTGGTGGGCTAACAAGTAGGCAGGCAGATGAGGTGGGGAAGTAAGTTGGAGGTGGAGAGGATCAAGAGGGACTTTGTGGGATGGAGGGGACAAGAGGTGAAGACTCGGAGTATAGCTCTAAGTTGGAGTGGAGGAGTGGATGTGACAATAAAGCAAGACTTGTGTCCATCTGAAAGGGATGGCTATGTACTGAAAGGAGAAACTATAAGGGAAGTAAACTGACTGAGGTGGTCAAGTGGGGGCACTAGTTGATCTGGTATGACTGGGTTGGGGTGGAGACAAGTGGAAGTGAGGGGAAAGTGGGACAATGTAGGGTTGGGTGGAGTGGATGTGAGTGATGTTGGAAGCAGTCAGATCTGGTATATGACAATAATGTGTGAACTCTAGGATGCTGCCAGGGGGGATCTCAGACTTAAGTACAACACATACTTACAGTGTGATAGAGGAACATGATGTTGGTGATATTCAATAGGAAATCATGAAGTCCAAGATTCTGGACTGTGGCCCACAAGGCTCAAGAATCATATGGACCCATGGATATGCAGCCAAAAATACATTAGAGGATGGATGGAATACTGATGACAATCTCAGAGGACTGTTAGCAGCCATAGATAATTGTAAAATCATAGGATCCAAGCAGGGATTGTGTTGAAACAAATAAAGAACGATAAGGCAGGCCAAGAAACTGAGTTGTGCAGCATTGTAGGTACATGCATTGGACTGAAATTTTCACACTTAGCACAGTTTTTGATTGTTTCTAGGATTGATGCATCTAGCTTCGGGCTGCATATCCTATCCAAGAGGGCCATCTTGATTAAGTCTCTTCCCCAGTGTCCTCCTTTCATATGAGCTTGATCTGCTAATATTTTTACTTCTTTTCTTGAAATACATTCTTGTACTTAGTCTAGCATCCTCAGTCTTAATATTACTTGTCTTCTCTAGTTTCTACTGTGGGAATTCTCTGTAGGACTTTACTCAACTCTAGACACAAGTTTCAGCTTGTTGTCGCCTCCACTCCCCCACTCCAACTTAGAGCTGTGCTCTAAGTTCTCACCTCTGTTTCCCTCTATCCAATAAACCCTACCTTCAATCCCCTTGATCCCTTCCACCTCTGACTTACTTCCTCCGCCCCATCAGCCAGCTGCTAGAAGCCTTTACTTCCCCAACCACCAAGCAGACCACAGTGGTCCCCTGGTCCTATTGTCGGACAACATCAGTCCCACTCCAAATTCGGGGCACATACTCAGCTAAGGGTACAGCACAAGAGCTGAAGCCAAGCCCCAACCCTCTGCTTCTCCACCCAAGCACAGTACCTAATAGTCTTCATTCAACTCTCTTAACATTCATTTACACATCACACAACACACACTCCTTCATTTACCATTTGCTCTTTATCCCTCTCCCTTGTCATTTGAATCATTCTCAACTCTCTTTTTTTTCTCTTCTTTGCCCAACTTCACTCAGCTGAGTTGATATTGATGTTAGTCAATCTGAAGATCACTATCAGTGATTTAGGATCATTCTCCATTGCTATTGCTCTCTAACACATTATTACTTCTTCATCTTTGAACTTATAGTGTACACTTGAGAGAGTGGAGTCTCCCTCACACTTAACAGGGATACTTAAGCAAATTGACTTGCTGAGACCCTTTTGGATTGGCCCTGATTGTACAGGCATTTATATTCCAACATCATGCTGGACCAAGATCTTCTGTGTGACCATAGTCATGAGGTTAGGCAGCTCCACATTAATAGCATTTTGGCCTGCTGTATTAGGTGTCTTGTTATGATGCTTATCCTCATTAATGCAAGTAGACTGATTCTGTTGGTCAGCATCTGCCTGATCAGTAGGTGTATCACCTATCTTTCTGTTGTCAGCATCTGCAGGAGTGTAGATGTCCCCAGTGCTTGAAGGCCTGTAGACTGGCTGGATATTTAGGTAGGTCAGTATTGATAGTATCTTTTCTGATATCTTTAGGGTTTGTTAAGATCATGCTCAGGGGTAAGGAAGAGTCTGAGGGGCTTGGCTTCAGCTCATGCGCTGCACCCCTTACCTGAGTATGTGCCCCTAATTTCAGATTGTAGTCCGATTTGAGTTCTACGAGCTCCGACAGGACATCAGATGGAGGCCCTCCGAAGGATGGTCAACAAACTACTAGGTGGGCGTGGGAACATCGGGTGAAAGGTAGTCCGCCCGACAGGAGAGAGTCTGACTACTGCAGTTGGAGCTAACAGTAGAAGTAGAGTGGAGGAGACTGCTCGGACGAAGTCTGAAGCAGAATGGAAACAAGGAGGACAGATGTACAAGAGTATTGGTCATAAGTCTGATGTGCTAGAAGGGTGGCCTAGGTGCGGGAAGTTGGACAAGTGGAGAAGGCGGCCGACTGTCATATACTGGATCTGAGCACCTCCAATACCACCTGTGAGCATCCCTACTGCTGGTCTGACCCCCTGTTTCCCCATCTGCTCCATTTCTCTCTGACAATGCATGAAGTGCATCTCAGCAGAACTAGCCCTGCTACCTCTGCCCAACTCTGCTCTGCTCCTCCGACACTACCCCTATTTCCTCCAACATTATACCCCTTCCATCCGACCCTATTTGGAGCTCTACTCCTCCGCCCTATCAGTCCACCTGATCCTACTCCTACTCCCTCCACCATCTCCGCTTTTCTAACCCACTTGGTTCCTTCAATTCCACTCATGTTGCCCCACCCGACTATTAGTCCACCCAATCACCTCACTGGTCCGCTCCTAGACTAGGAACCACTCAACTGGTCCTATCTCTGTTTAGTATCATAGTGACTCCTTTTGGATCACCGGTAATCCCTATACCCAAGTGATTATTGATCCATCGTGTACATACTGACAAAACCAGATGATATTCCACATCCATCCGACCCATCCTAAACCCATCCGCAGGTATCTGTCTCCTATCCGATGCTTGCCCATGCACGCATGGATGATCCGTCACTCGCATGCGTGGTCGGATGCAAGTGCATGCGCTCGGATACGTAATAAGGTGCATCGGATTGTTTCGGAATGTTTCGGGTGTACATGTAATAGTGAGTGCGTTCGATACAAGTCATGGACTCATAGGCAATACGCATGGTTGGTTAGCAAGCGGGTTTTTGCCCATATATTAGAGGTGCTTTGGTATATACTTTCCCTCAGTCGTTTCTATCGCCTCCTTTGGCAGTGGCTGAGTGCGGATTCCATCCGCTTTACTTAGGTGTATCCATGGACCCGATCCGCATCACTTAGGGTACTAACGGATCGCATCCGCTTCACTCAAAGTTTTGTCACATACTATTCTCCGAGCGTCTTTCTTGTATGTCTTAGTCATCTTTCTTGTAATCCTGTACACTCAGCACATAGCCTTCTGCTATGCTATGCTACTTACTTAGAGTATATGAACATATGTACATCTGTCTGTAGATCTTTAGTCTGAATATTACCTTTCCTATGCCCTGCTCTTCTGTCCTTTGACTTAGGCTTAACCCAAGTCAACTCCTGTTTGCTGGCCTAGGGGATGAAATCCCTAGGTCAGCTGCCTTCTCTGCTCGTCTGACTTTCTGTGTTGCTGCCATCCTTCCCACACGTTGGACTTGTGGCTGATACTCTTGTACCTCTGTCAT